CTTCAGATCTTCTGTCCCCCTCTCTCTGTCCCTCCCCAACTTGCGTTCTCCCAAAAATAAATATTAAAAAGAATAAATTAAAAAAATTAAGATTCTCTCTCCCTCTGTCCCTCTCCCCCACTCTCTCTCTAAAAATGCATACATATTTTTAAGAAATAAATAAATCTTCAGGTTAACATAAATTTGCCTATAATTTTCATAGATTTCTGATTTTAACACACTATACCACTTTGACAAACAGTTGATGGGTAATGCTCTGAATGCATATTATCGGATTTAGACTAGAATTTAGAAAGATTTCAGAATAAAAAAAAAATTTCAGAAAAGTAGTTTTTAAACAAATGAGCTAACTGTTGAATTGGGGTATAAACTATTAAAAATTTAATTCTTCAAATTTTAATAGTTTAAATGTATTTTTTAGGCTCAGAACTATTTTATTATTATTATTTATTTATTTATTTTTAATGTTTATTTATTTTTGAGAGAGAGAGAGAGCACGAGCTAGGGAGGGGCAGAGAGAGAGGGAGCCCAAAGTGGGCTCTATGCTGAGAGCAGAGAGCCCGATGTAGGGCTCAAACTCACGAACCAGTGAGATGATGACCTGAGCCAAAGTCAGACACTTAACCGACCAAGGCACCCAGGTGCCCCCAGAACTGTTTGACAAATTAAGGGAGTGTAGGTTAATAAAATTATGAGAGGGTAGCAACTCATTACTTTTAAGATGGTCATATGGGTAGAAGAATGTTCAGACTATGTTCTAACACTTCTTCATTCAAAATTTTTTTTCAGCACAAGATCAGAACAAAGGAAGAATGGTATCAATTCATCCAGCTTCTTACAGAATTCCGAACACAGAATGTAGATTTCTTATATAGTAATCTTGAGTTCATTCTGCCATTACCTGTTAACATCATTCCAGAAATGGAAAACTTTTGTGGTTCATCAGGAAGTGTGGAGGACACCAGTGCAGCAACAAAAAATATGAAATGTCTTGCTAGGAAACATTCTGAAGGAGAGAAGCCATTGAAAAAGCCACAAAAAAAGAAACAAAAGAAAAAGATGACAATTCTAGATGATAGTGACTTATTTGACTCTGAAGTGGACTTTTCTAATGAATTCCTTAGCCTTTCTCCTGTATCTTCTTCCTCAAATTCAGAAGAAAGCAAAGCCAGAGATAAAGAAAGCAATCCAGAGACAAAGAAACTAAACAAATGTTTAGAGTCTAACATTGAGTCTGTTCCTTGTCCTCCTAAAACACCAGCAGAAAAAAAATGTTCTGCCCTCGTTTCTCAGTGTCTAAATTCTCTCACTGAGTTCATGGATAACATGTCCTTCTTAGATGCTCTTTTAAATGATGTAAGAGAACAAAAGGAAATTGGTAAAAATGACTTCAGTTGGACAAATGTTAAAAGCGGACTTTGTGATGAGTTTAGTCTCGAGACTACCGATGGATGGACTTCTCCGAGCTCCGGAGAATTAAAGGCAGCTGTAGAAGCTCTCAGCTTTACTAAATGTTCATCTACTATTTCAAAAGCATTGGAAACCTCCTTGAATTCTTGCAAGAAATCAGGAAGAGATCCAACAAAAGAGCTTACTTTTTATGTTTCACAAAAACGCAGCAATGTATATTTCAGTCAGTCAGCGGCTAATTTAGAGTAAGTCTTGCCTCCTTTTACTTTTTATTTTTCAATAATAAATGATAAAGGGGAAATTATTAGTTTCTTTTTACTAATTTTGAAATGCTTGGCTTTATTGATCATGGTAAACCCTTAATAATGTAGCTCCTTTTTTTTTTTTTTAATTTTTTTTTAATGTTTCTATTTATTTTTGAGACAGAGACAGAGCATGAGCAGGGGAGGGGCAGAGAGAGAGGGAGACACAGAATCTGAAGCGGGCTCCAGGCTCCGAGCCGTCAGCACAGAGCCCGACGCGGGGCTCGAACCCACAAACCATGAGATCATGACCCGAGCCGAAGTCGGATGCTCAACCGACTGAGCCACCCAGGTGCCCCAATAATGTAGCTTCTAATAAGACAGGGAGACCATCCTGATTGCTGGGAAGAAAAATGAGAGATTAGGAGACTCTTGAATGACAGGGAGTGGGGTTTTGATTTGCTGTGACGGATAGCAGGTAGCCATTAAAGGTTTTTTTCACTTGTGAGTGATTGATGTGTTGAAAATGATACAGTAAGTTAACCCGGGATCTAGTTAATCTAGTCTAGACCAGAAGCAAGGAGAAGTGGAGACCAGAAGCTGGTTGTGTTTGGGATTGTTGCATTTTTTTAGACCTTAAAAGTAAAAAGTAATGCATTCCTTTTCATTTACAGCAGTGCCTGGAAGAGGATAGCAGTCATTAAAAGTGTATTTTCTAGCCGATCCCTTCTAAACCTGGGTAATAGACAAGCTAGTATAATTGAGTACTTGCCAACTCTTCGAAACATTTGTAAGACGGAGAAGCTAAAAGAACAAGGAAAAAGTAAAAGAAGGTAAAGAAAGGCTCTATACAAGTAACATTGTAGACAGCTATTTCAAGATTAATAAATATCCTCAGCTGATGGTTAAATTGAATTGTTCCTTGTAATTTTGACAGGTTCCTGCACTATCTGGAAGGGATTCATCTTAACATTTCGAAAGAGACTGTGAACACTTTGGCAGCTGGCTTCCCTTAATGTTCACATTAACAATGCCTTGTACAGATTATTATGTGGTCCTCAAGATACATTTTTATATTGATTCATGGAAGAATTTATTTCTGAATGTACATTTAAAACAGGCTATTTGTATATTTTTTATTAGTGTGCAGATATTTAAAATGAAAAAATTTGAGTTACAAATTGTATTTATGATTGTGGTGGTATTTTTTTCTGAAATTTTTTATATTATCTGATTTAGCTTTGTTATAGTATTTTTGTATGTGAGTGAGCTGTTTCTAGAAGGGACAGCTCACTAAGATATTTCTAAAAATGTTTCAGTGTTAAATTAATCCATAATTTTTCTCTTTCCTGTTACCTTTAATCCACCTCTCCCCAACCCAACCTTCAGTACTCTGTCAAGTTGTATATATGAATCATCTAGGTGGTGATCTTTAAAAAATAAATTTATGCAATACAAAATTATGTAACATGCAAAAAACTTCCTAGGGAAGAAATTATGCATCAGTTTTCAAAAAATAACATCTTCCCGATAAATTTATTTTTAGTGTATTCCTCTGGCATATCTTACCATTGGATCAGCATGTTGACAAAGTGAAAACAAGATTATGAATTGTCGTTTTCATAAATCTTTTTTAGCAACCATACATATGTGATACCTTGTATATTTTGCCAACTCAAATCATTTGCCTTGTACATTTTTCTTGTATTTTTATATCAGTGATGTTTTATTTCGTAAAGATATTAATGACGTTAATATATCTATTTTGGACAAAGTGCTACTCATCAAAATTGTAACAAGGGAGAATTCTATACAGGCTTTCTTACATCATAGCCATCTCCATTTAAGGTTATGCTTTTGGAGAAAGTGTATATTTTTAATTACAAGATTGTAAAATCCCACATTTCACTTAAAATTATTTTTGCGATCATATAATCAGGTATATCTGAAAATAGTGTCCTATTTCCAATGTTTATATTATGTACTAGCCTAGAATTCAGTTACATTATCTGAATTATGTTTTTACCCCAAAAGGTAAGGATCCTAATTTTGTACAGATGGAAAATATTGTTGTATACCTGTTTACAAATGTGTATGAAGATATGTTTTTACCTCATTTGTTCAATTTACTTTTTCTTGTTATTGATAGTATATGGATTTAATTAAAGGCTGAAGCTAAGAGGCTTTATGCAATGTTTAAATAGGTGTTCAGGTGTAATCCTCTGGGTAAATATGGGTATTTTATAGGTTTGGATATAGGCTATGTCTTACAGGTTTCGTGCTTGTACAAGAGAGAGAATAGATCTGAAGTTTTGTGGGTTTTTAAGTATATGGATCTTTCTACTGCATACTAGTGTTCATTCACTATTTGTAGACCACTTACCTGTTAATTTGGTCTTTTATTATTAGAAAATTCTGATAATTCTCAGTAATTGAGAACCAAAGTAAAATAACTATAGAATTGTATTTAATAAGATCAAAAATCAGGGAACAGGATATTTTCCTCCCTAACAGGGACACATTTAAGATTTTTTATTTAGGTTTAGCATGATTTGGGAAAAAATTATGAATTCTTAAAGGTAGTAAATTCCTAGAAGATTTATGTCCTTTTGAGATAGAGTAACCAAATTCTGATGGCTTTTCAATACTTAGCATCTTATCCTATAAAGTCCTAAAATGAACACATTTTCACTTAAAGCTATTTCCAGGAATATGTGGAAGACAGAATGCCACGTATCTGGCATGAACAACTGGATGGCTGGTGAAGCTGTTTACTGAAGTGTAGAACAGTGGCAAAGCAGGGGGGAGGGAGATTTGAAGGAAAGAGAATTATTTCAGACGTGTAGTTTGAGAGATCTACAACATATCCAAGGTGGAGATGTTTTTGTACAACCATATAGGTAAATGTAGAGCTTTATAAGTGAATGGCAATAGGTCTAGAGTGCAACGCAGATTCCACATATTTTATATATTTCTGATTATTTTTTTCCCAACAAGTATATTTCACTTTTTAAAGGAAAAATGTATTGCTTTGACATCAAAGAGACTTGGGTTCAGGATTGGTGAGATAGAATGAGGGCCTGAACTAAGGCACATGTAATGTGAGATGCGGGTGGAAAATTAGGTGCTATGCTACTTTTTTTTAAATGTTTATTTTGAGAGCACACAGACACAAGATGGGGAGGGGCAGAGAGGGAATCCTAAGCAGGCTCCGCACTGAGCGTGGGCCTCGATCTCACCACGACATCATGACCTTGGCTGAAATCAAGTCGGGATGCTTAACTGACTGAGCCACCCAGGCAGCCCAGTCCTACTTTTCTCAAAAGATGGTCTGTCCAAGTAAAATATTTCAAAAGTGAAAAAAAAAATGAACCTATTAGACAAAGCTTGTTTGTTCTGGGTTTGATAGACCGAGTTGATGAAAATCACCTTTGGAAGCAGTACGTCGAACCACGTGCTACTTACGGAAGAAGAAGATGTAAGTTGTGTTCTCGGTTATAATTAGTGTTATTCCCAAGATGAGCACCACCCAGAAAAATCATTACTCCCTATTTTAGCAATATAACAATTCAATCCTTTAGGATGGGATTTGCTTTTCAGGGGAGATAACTCTGTTTCTTGTTTTGGCTGTTTAGGGAGCATCTTACCATTTAACACTAAAACCCAAAAGGCACACAGTCTCCTCTAAGATATTTATTGATTTGGCCTAGACCTATTATCGTGTGAACAATTCAACAGCTGAAAGTCTGACCCTAAACATCCGAATATAAACATGTTTCCTTCTCCATAAACATGGTCGTTAAAAACAGTTGGTTTTACAGCTTCAGAACTAATAAATACAATTTAATAGATATAACAGTAGAGCCCATTACAGTAACCTCAGAATTTTAAGGTTCAGTATCAAAAACTGCTAATTCGTAGAAGGCAATGGCTTGTAACAATGAATCATATAACTCTTCCGCTCTCTGTTCTTCAGTAGACGAAAACATCTGTCTGTAGCGGACGATCTTCTCTGATGGGAAGACTACCCGAGGCTCCTCCTTCAGTACGGACTCTGAAAGGAACTGCTTCACTAGTTCTTTTCCACTAGTCCGCGTGTCACCAATCATCAGCTCAAAGTGCTTCCCCACTCCATTTCGATTCATGCTCAGTACCCGGTGCTGGCCGTCCTGGACAAAAGTTTTATTTAATAAGGCATACAGCATGGCTTCCATGATGTGAAAATGTAACAGTACAGGAAACCGAGAGGAGTTCTGAATTGAAAGCCCTATTTTTTCCAGAACATAGAGGTCAGCGTTAGGCATCTTTGAAACGACTGAAGAAATCTTAAAAAAAAAAAAGACAAAATTAGTGACAAGAACTACTTTGTTGTTTGGGTCCCCTCTCCCATTTATTTTTTTAAATGTTTATTTATTGTTAAAAGGCAGAGCATGAGCGGGGGAGGGACAGAGGGAGAAGGGAGACAAAGAACCCAAAGCAGGCTCCAGGCTGTGAGCTGTCAGCACAGAACCCGACATGGGCTCGAACCCACAAACCATGAGATCATGACCTGAGCTGAAGTCAGACACTTAACTGACTGAGCCACCCAGGCTCATAACCTGTATTTTTTTTAATATATAACTTAGGTTAAACTCCTGCTAACAGTTCTGAAGTAACTGAAAAAGCATTTAATGGAGGCCTCAGGACAGCCAGGTTCTGGTCATTGTTCTATCAGGAATAAGCTGACCTAAGACAGGCCATTTAGTCCTCCCAAGTACTGGTTTCTTCATCTGTAAAATGGGCTTCATAATTTCTTTCTTCCTTTTTTTTGGAAATGTTTATTTTTGAGAGAGAGCACTCGAGTGAGCAAGTGAGCTCAGGGGAGGGGCGGAGAGAGAGGGAGAAAGAGGATCTGAAGCAGGCTTTCTGCTGTGCAGTGCAGAGCCTGATGTGGGGCTTGGAACTCACAAACCATGAGATCATGACCTGGGCCAAAGTCAGATGCCCAACCAACTGGCCACCAGGTGGTCCCCTGGGCTTCATAATTTCTAAAATCTGTACTAGACAACTTAACAGGCACCTGGGTGGCTCAGCTGGTTGAGCGTCCAACTCTTGATTTTGGATCAGGTCATGATCCTATAGTCATGGGACTGAGCCATGTTGGGGTCTGTGGGGTGCGTGGAGCCTGCTTGGGATTCTCTCTGCCCTTCTCTCCCATTTGCTCTCAAAAGAAAAAAAAATTTTTTTTTTTTTTAATTTTACAAAAGATTAGACAACTTAAAACTTCTATTAACCTTTTAAAAATGTCTAGGGGTGGGGCGTCTGGGTGGCTCAGTGGGTTACGTGTCTGACTTCACATCAGGTCATGATCTCACAGTTTATGAGTTCGAGTCCTGCACTAGGCTCTCTGCTCTCAGCACAGAGCCTGCCTCACATCCTCTGTCTCCCTCTCAAAAATAAATAAGCATTTTAAAAAGTAAATAAAATAAGGGGCGCCTGGGTAGCTCAGTCGGTTAAGTGTCCGACTTTGGCTCAGGTCGTGATCTCATGGTTTGTGAGTTCAAGCCCTGCATTGGGCTCTGTGCTGACAGCTCAGAGCCCAGAGCCTGCTTTGGATTTTGTCTCTGTCTCTCTCTGCCCCTCCCCCACTCCGCTCTGTCTCTGAAAAATAAACATTAAAAAAAAGTTTTTAAATAAATTAATTAAATAAAAATGTCTAGGGTAGAGCAGAGTTAGAATAACTAGCCTATAATCAATCATCTGCAAATGATTAATCCCATCAGATGCTTGATTATACCAGTTCCCTATGTGTAATCAGGATGGTAATTACTCCCCATCTCACAAGGTTTTGAAGACTCAATGAGACAATTAGTGACAGCATTTTTGAAAAACAAGCTTTATATAGGGATAAAATTCTATAACATTTAGAATAATATATTTTAACACTGATTTTTCTCAGTATATGCCTTTGACACATGAAGGTATTTCATGAACTAAATGAAGATTCAACCTTTAAAAATCATAAGGTGGGGCGCCTGGGTGGCGCAGTCGGTTAAGCATCCGACTTCAGCCAGGTCACGATCTCGCAGTCCGTGGGTTCGAGCCCCGCGTCGGGCTCTGGGCTGATGGCTCAGAGCCTGGAGCCTGTTTCCGATTCTGTGTCTCCCTCTCTCTCTGCCCCTCCCCCGTTCATGCTCTGTCTCTCTCTGTCCCAAAAATAAAAAAAAATAAATAAATAATAAAAATAAAAATAAAAATCATAAGGTGATGAAAACATGATAGGAATGGGTGAATAATAAGCACGCAAAGAGAGTCCATCGTTAGTACTGTATTTCATTCCTCTTAGGACTAGAAGATTAAACTACACGAGGAGTTCCGGCAGGTGGGAATTTGGAGGTGCAACTGCTTTACCTCTTGTAAATAGACAGATGATAAGTATGTTCCTTTCATCAACTGGCAACACTCACTTTGCTGCCAGTCTAGCACGGCCAATTTACGATCCAGGTGAGCCCAGGCAATTCTTCTAGTTCCAAAAACAATGGATACGATACTATTAACTGCCTAAAACAAAAAGGCTGCTTTAATGACAAGTATAGACATTTTAATAGATACAAAATTTAAGCTATAAACTCAGAATGCCAAATTAGTTTCTATAACAAATATATTTACAGTTTATGAACTGAGAATTGTTAAAGAAATGCAGCAATAATATTTAAAAAACAAAGTAGCAGTTTATAAACAAAGAACCTTTACTTATTCTCAGTGCCTTGCCCAAAATCGGCATTCAAATATTCAAATGTTGCTGGGGACTGTGCTGGACTGGAAACAAGAAACATACCCATACCCAAGATCATCAGGCCATGATCTTGCGGTTTGTGAGATGGAGCCCGGTGCCGGGCTCTGTGCTGACAGTGCAGGGCCCATCTGGGATTCTCTCCCTCCCTCCCTCCCTCCCCCTCTTCTGCTTGGGCACCTGCTCTCTCTCTCAAAAATAAAAAAACTTGTAACAAAATTGAAGACAGTGACAGTGAGGACAAGAAATAGAGCAGAGATAATGGGGGTAGAATTGATATGTGGGATGGAGGAGCTTAGGATAAATCCAGTTTTATTTCAGTGATTGAATGGCACCTGTTAAAGATGATGATAGGAAGCAGATCAACTTGGGAAGGTTAAGGGGAGGTGAGTTGTTTTTTTATGTATTCCATTCAGGTTGCCTACAGGGCTTCTAAGGGGAAATGTGTAGTAGATAATTGGATATGTGGGTTCAACTCTGCATGAAGTCTGGGCATCACTTCACTCCCACACAGTTCATCTAGTTATATGGATATGCAACATGCTCCACAGATACAAAGGCAGATAAGCAGGAACATTTTCTAATTCTATGCCCATCTCCCTTTCACTGCTAAGGAATGGATAAATATCCACTATGGGCAGAATAGTTTGGATGCCCAATCTACAAAATACAGGCCTTCTTTTGGTTCTTTTCTTTAGCTCAATGACTGCTGAGATATACTGTACATAACAATTACTGCACCAGGTCACACACAGTACTTCACGGGCAAGATTTTTTTTAAGGACTACTGCATGACTTTTTCCATACAAAATAACTTTAGAACCTAACCCTCTAAATAAGATTGCAACTCCACTGTAGTGAGTATAAATAGTATTTGTAGCAAACACTTTGAAGGAAAATCCAACCCCTGAAAAATGTCGTTTGAAGTATGTTCCAGATCAACTGCAAGAGTTCTATCAGGAGTCCATGGATGGGCTTCATGAAACTTACAAACCCTCTGAAAGTACATGCAACATTCTATGTATACGTGTTCTTGTTTTCCTGAAAAGAGGTCCATAGCTTTCATCAGGTTTTCAGAAAGTATCCATAATCCCCCAAAACTGAGAACTACTGGTCTAGAAAAAAGTGTGCTTACTACTGGTATAGGATGAGAGAATATTTTATCATGTATTGTTACACAGGACCTAAGTCCCTCCTCCAAGGTTTAATGTCTGATGTGCCAAGTAATTCTAATATTTGTCTTAAAGTGCCTGGGTGGCTCAGTCGGTTAAGCTTCCAACTTCAGCTCAGGTCATGAGCTTGCAGTTTGTGAGTTTGAGCCCCATGTTGGGCTCTGTGCTGAGAGCCCAGAGCCTGGACCCTGCTTCAGATTCTGTGTCTCCCTCTCTCTCTGCCCCTCTCCCACTTGCACTCAGTCTCTCTCTCTCAAAAATAAATAAACATTAAAAAAAAAAAGAGGGCACCTGGGTGGCTCAGTCAGTTAAGTGTCTGACTTTGGCTCCAGGTCAGATCCACAGGTAGAGTCTAGGTGAGGTGGTTCTACATCGGGCTCTCAGTGCTGACAGCTCAGAGCCTGAGACGGCTGGATTCGGTGTCTCCTTTCTCTCTGCCCTCCCTGTTCAGGTTGCTCTGTCTCTCTGACTATAAATAAATAAATAAATAAAAGTAGTGGTGCGTGGGCTGGGCCGCGGTTGACGGCCCACGGCCGGCTAGTCGCGTCTGCAGGTCATGCACTTTCTGCGATGTCCAAGGGTCGTCTGGTGAGCCCGCCACCTGGCTAAGCCTGTTGTGTTGAAGTCAAGCCTGGGAGCCTGTTTCCCAGATTCTGTGTCTCCCCCCTCTCTCTGACCCTCCCCTCCCCTCCTGCCTGCCTATGCCTCCCCTGGTCTCCCAAAAATAAATAAACGTTAAAAAAAAAATAATAATAATAAATAAATAAATAAATACAACACTGAAAAGGATTTGCTTTTAGAATGCTTTTTAAAAGGAGGTAGGGAGGGAAAGATTACGTTAAATCCTGCTGGAAAGACCAGTATAATGTTGTACAGTCACTCCCTGGCCATAACCATCTCTGCATCTTAATTTCTCATTACTCTCGATAGAACCCTCAGACACAGCCAGATAGCTTCTCAACATTCCTCTTAAATAAACCTTGCACAGACCTATTTCTCTACAACTGTTCTTTCTTCCTAGAATGCCCACCTCCTCCAGGTAGCCTAATTCTCTCTCTCCAAGATCCAGGTTGAGTTCTACCAGTAATCTGCCCAACAGTCACAGCCCACAGTTCCCTGCCCCATCCATTGCCAATTTACTATCTGTATATCTCATTCTTCAGTACTGATCACATACCAACTAAACTCTAAGCTGTCTTGATGCCCAGAATAGTGCTTTGCAAAGTATGTTCTCAAATATGTAGGCCATATAGCGGACATTAAGAAAAATGATATACCGGGGCGCCTGGGTGGCGCAGTCGGTTAGGCGTCCGACTTCAGCCAGGTCACGATCTCGCGGTCCGTGAGTTTGAGCCCCGCGTCGGGCTCTGGGCTGATGGCTCAGAGCCTGGAGCCTGTTTCTGATTCTGTGTCTCCCTCTCTCTCTGCCCCTCCCCCGTTCATGCTCTGTCTCTCTCTGTCCCAAAAAAAATAAATAAATAAAAAAAAACGTTAAAAAAAAAAAAAAGAAAAAAGAAAAATGATATACCTTAAGTCTCTCTCTTTTTATCTCTGGTTTGATGAGCTTTCTCAAGAGCCGGTTGTCTTGGAACTTTCTTTTTTCCCCTTCAGTCTCTGGACAAAGAATGGAGTTACAAACTTGAATGGTAGTTTTGTACTGAAACAAGGGCACATTCATTAAACTCTCCAAATTCTGAAATGGCCCAAACTTCTCTCTGTGCTCTATAATATTGATGGATTTTCTTCCACGAAGCAATTTGAAAGCTTCAAGTTCTTTATTAGATGCTGTATTCAACACCTGCAGGATGGAAGCCTGCTGCTCTGAAGAGAAGAGCTTGTCAAGTGCATTTCCAGATTTCTTTGTATTTTCATCACAAAGAGCAACACTGGGAATAATCTTCTTAGGTGCGGTGGATTTTTTCCGACAGCAGGAATTATGGAGACCCTGGACCAAGGATGACCCTAACGGAACTGGAAAACATCGCCACCTTCCTGAAAGGAAAATTTAGCAAAATGTAAGTTGGAATGTCCTACTTCTCTTTAGTATTAGTTGTGGCTTCACCAGAGCCTTTGCAAAGTGGCAGAGACTTTCCCATAATTTTAGAAGTAGTAGACTAAATTCACAAGAGGTGTCTTCTGATTTTTGTGGACAAGTCCTAAGTTTTACAACCTGGAAATTTTATGCCCTTCAATGTCTTCAACTGCTTAACGTTTTGGCATTTTTAACTTTAGAAAGATCCTTTTGTAATTACTATCTCTTGTTAAGAACATTTTCACTAGTTTCTTTCTCATCCGGGGGAGCCAGATAAAATTAAATTTTATACGTGTGTAAGAAATGTTTCAGCTGAGTGGTAGATTGAAGGACGATTTTTGTTTCTCCGGTACACTTTTCGAGATTTCTACTATGACTATGCTTCTGCAAGTGCAAGGGCAAAAACTATGCAAGAAACAATTCTGTAAAACCAATGGGAAGTCACTCTGACACTGCAGCCCCAGGAAGAAAATACAGCCAGAAGTCAGCAAACGGCCGTTAGAATCTGAACCGTCCGCCCGTCCGCCCGCCACCCAGTCCGGGAAGGAGCCCCTCGCGGACCCCTTCCCCGGGAAGCACAATCGCTCCGAGGCGCCTCTCAGCTCAGCGAGAACTCCAAGACGGAGAGCTGGACAGGGGACCCGAGAGAGGAAATGTCCCAGGACAGACGGGAAATTAACCTAATATTCCAGGAACGCTACCTCCCGCCACGAGGAGACAATGGACGCTCATCCTCCAGGTAAAGCACCAGGTGCCCACAGTCCAATCTTCCTCCGCCGACTTCCGGTCCCTACGTGCTCCGCCCCAAAGTGCCCGGCCTCTCGGCGGAAAGGTTCCGGCCGGCGTGGCGTTCCGGCACCGGCGGGAGGTAAGTCCGGCCTGAGGAGCGGGTGAGTTGCCTGTGGGCTGCGGACTCCGGGCGCGCTGCGGCCGAGGCGGTGTCTCCAGATCCCCAGCCCCTGGGCGGCCCGCACTTTCCTTCCACTGAGTCCGGGAGACGTTCTCGGCCCGGCCAGCCCTTGACAGCCGCTGAGCCCAATCTCTGGGATGAAAACGCCTAGGCCACTTCTAGTTTGTAGTTGGCAAGGTCCCTCCTTCAGGGAGACTCCCTGGGTTTATTCCAGGCACATGAACTGATACGGCCTTGTGGGGGCCTTGCCTGGGGCTCAAGGAGCGGAGCCTGGTGGGGAGCAGAGACAGGGACACAAATAGCCCTACCTCTAGGCAGAAAGGGCAACTGGGAGAAGCAGGAGGTCAAGGAAGGGCGAGGTAGGAGGAGGTCGGAGCAGCGTTCCATTTGGCAGGGATGGGGGTGGGGTGGCACATGAAGCTGGCACAAAATTTGGTTGGGCCTTGAATACGGAATGGAGCAGTTAAATAGCTTCATTAGGTAGCCCGAAGCTACTGAGGCTTTTGTAGGGTCAGACGGGAGATGGTGTTTCTAGAAAATTGGCCATATATAAAAGTGCCAGACTGGGTTGGAGGTGGAAGAGGGAGGGAGTGTCTCTTCCCAAGGGGCAGGCAGCCATCAGGAACTGAACCTGGAAGGGGTAAGGAGAATGGAAAGAAAAGGGTTCTGTCTGGAACATGGGGAGATTTTAGCGAGTTTTGTGAAAAACACAGAAGTCAGGAGGGAGGTGGGTTTTGAAGGGAAAGGGGGTGGGTTTGTGTTTTCATGAGGTGGTAATGTCTTTGTAGATATCGTCCAGGAAGTAGTGGAAATGTAGGGACTTCTAAGTATTCATAAGAAATACTCAGGAGAATTCTAGGAATCTTACCAATTCCTGGAGAATTTAGGACTGTAAAAAAGAAATAATCTCAACTTTTTGTGCAAAATCCTCCAAATCAAATAATTTCCTTTTTGCTCCTGGCTTATTCTGCTTAATGAGGTGTTATGGGTTGAATTGCATCCTTCAATAAAGATATGTTGGGGCGCCTGGGTGGCTCCGTTGAGTGACTTTCTTTTTAAGTTTATTTACTTATTTTGAAAGAGGTTGGGGCGGGCGGGGGGGGGG